TGTAACATTGGTAAATTTTATCATAACTGAGTCTCAAACTTTGAAATTTTTTAGAAAACAATAGTTCACAATGCTTTTGAACGGAATTTACCATTTTTCCATAAATTAAAACATGTAATAAATGAAAGCAATTTTTCTAGTAGATTGGCTTACTAATCATAAAAATAAGAGGTTTTAAATAATTAAATTTTAGGGACAGATATTTAAGCTTCCTGACATAGGAACTTAGCTGATGGCAATGGAGACAATGCTGTTTACAAAACCTTAGTATCTTGCTTGAAAAAAGTCAAGGTCTTACTATTCCATGAAAAAAACATTTTTACAGAAAGCATTTCCCTCTTTCTATTATTAAAAGCAAACATTTTTTTCTAATAGTACATATATAAATAAGGACTCTCTTTGTTCATACTCACTTTAAGGTACTATATACAAGCTTTACAAATCTTGCCCAAATCTACCTTTATTAACTAGATGAAAGATATCCAACTTAAATAATAAAAGGGTAAGTTCCTATAATTATAAAACATGCTCTTTTAAGAGTCAGACGTTTTTCTTTGGATGAAGTAACTTTTAATAACTCTCTTGTTTCAGTTTTAAATACAGTATTTTAATATTTTATAACTATTGTTGCTATTTTCACTGCACAATGTGTCTTTCCCACCTTCCCTCTTCAAAGTTCAACATTTACTTCTACATTATCTTGTACTTGTGTGATGCTACAATACCTTAATATTAAGCCACTTCCATGAACACCCCATATTCCCTCAAGCACCCCTCCTGCCTGCAAAACAAATTGATCAGCATCACAAAGTGCTCATCTATTTTACGCACTGACCATCACGAAGCAGCAGGGGGAGCAGCCAGAAAAGCACTAAGAAAAAGCAACCCAGAAAAGCACCTCTTACTTATGGGCAACAGAAGCGTGCTAAAGATATTTGCTAAAAACAAAAGACAGAATAAATTCCATAAGAAGTCACAATCACATTTGCAAAACTGGCCTACGTACCTCTAAAACGGACTACAGAAAAACCTTAAGCGTCTCTGAAAGAGGCTTACATCCTAACTTCAGAACAGACTTTTAACTTGAAAGCCAACAGTTTCCAGTAATACTAACATTCAGAACTGTCCCCCCAAACTAGAGTAAAAGCAAAATACACTGTTTTCATGATGTTATATTTTAGGGAGACTCAAAATGATTTTGCTTTCTCCTTCAAACATCACTACATTTACAAAGGCCTGGTGAAATGTATGAAAGGATTAAATTATAGAGCTCTAGGGCATAAAGTCTTTGAAAGACCTGATGTCTGGACTTCTGTCCTGTCCTCCAAGTTCCTTCCTACCCTCATAAACCTTCTATGACTGAAAAGTGAAAACACTATGAAACTATTCTGCATTAAAAAGTACTTTACTAACAAAGTACTTAGCTTTTCAAGACTTACACATAAGGATAGAAAATTGCCCACCAACATACATGATATTGTACATATTCTAAAGGTACATATTCTATAAGGGTTATCTTTTCAGTTTTATAGTTAAGTTTGTTTAAATTCATTTAGCTTTTCTGCCTGGAATTTTAAATTTAAGAAATTTAAAATAAATTTAAGAAAACACTAAGCTTCTAACTAAAACTTCAAAATGTTCTATCAAGTTATTTAAATTAAGTAAAGATGGTTAAGAATTATACTTCATGAAACTTATATCTATCATAAATTATATATCAACAAAAACAAACAAAACCACTGTAGCCAAAGAAGAAATAAATGAAGTTTCAGCTAAACCCCACATAATAAAGGTGTAGTGCCTATTCTTGTCAGATATTGTTTTAGTTACTGATATATATATATATATATATATATATATATAATTTTTTTTTTAACTCTCACGTTAACCTTACACCTATATTTTGCCAAGGAGACTGAAACTAAAAAAGTTTAGGCCGTTTTTAAAAATGTAACTCAGGAACAAGTAGAATAAAACCATGATTGAACTTTCAGGTCTGCAATCTGCAAGCCTTAAGATATCTCCCTAAAACTGCTGTCAATTATAGCAATGAGGTTCCAAAGGAAATCTGCACAAATCTCAGGCAGATCAATGAGCTTATGAGGGTAAATGCTGTAGATTTAATCACTCAAATTAAATGCCATCTGGAGTCTCTTATCCTGTTGGTACAAGCATCCTACATGTGTTTCAGCTAAGCAAAGGCCTTATCCAAAATTTCAGTAATTTTTCCTGCCTCTGCTACATCAACAAGCACTAGGTACACCGCAATTTTAACACAGAAACTATAGCCTGTTTCTAACATCATCTTTTAACTACTGTTTTAGATTTCCTCAAGATTTTTTAAAAATTTATGTTACTTGTTAATTCAGTTTGTTCAGTGGATTTCGGGAATCAATTTCCTTCTCTTTACTCCCAAACCCATTTCACTAATAAGTATTTTCTGCTATCACTTAAATTTGTAGACTTCTTACTAATGTTATTAGGCTTTTTAATCTGTCAGAAGTAAAATTTTTAAAAAACCCCAAGAGAAACAAGCACAGGGAAAAGTATCCTAATTTTTCAAAACAGAATAAACTGAAAACATCAACAGAATGAAAGGCAATAAGACTAATAACCGAAAGACAATGTTTCAGATTTATTCATTCACACTAAAAGACGTCAAAAACTGAGCTGACATGTGAATCAAGCTGTGTACATTCCCAGTCAAGAAAGAAGGTGACATGCGGCTCACAGAGACCTTCCCATCAGTTGCCCCAACTCAGTTCATAGCTCTTGTGGCTCATCTGTATCCTTCTTATCAAGCAAAAGGTAACTTTACTACCATTACCAAGAGCTTTTCTTTCTAAGCTAATCCTTCTTCATTTATCAAATGTCATATGAGCACAACACTAATCTAGAAATGAATGAATTAAAGAAGAAATGGGTGGCCTACATATTAAGTTTGATCAGTAGCTCCAGCTGTGCTAGCCTTCATTTTCAGAAGTGTCATGTCAATAATCTTTCAACCACAACACAGAAACACAGCTAGAATGACCGCATTTTGAAAAAGCATTTCTCATTTATTTTATTTTAACCAAATAAACCCATTTCCCCTGTGACCCCTGTGAATTAACTCAAATTTTAATTTGGATGCCTACACAATATTTAAAAGAAAACAAAATACCCCTCACTTATTCGGTGCTGTGAAAGACACCATTTGAGGAACTACTGTGACCTGAAGTGTTTTTAATCTTAGATTAAACTACTTCAGAGATGAAGTCATTTAACAATACACTGTTAGAATGCACATCAATTTTCACACTAACCATATGGATTTTGGGAAAGTAGCAGCTGAGGTGCACTTCACTGAAAAAGTATTGTCAAAATATCTTGAAAACATTAACAAAAGTGTGTATTTTGCTAGATGCCTTCAGATTCGACTCTGCCTTTTAGCACAAAGAATCAACCAGGCAACTGAGAACTCAGGCCCACTGCAGAAGAGTTCCCCTGAGTACTTAGAACATTGGAGATAGCAGCATACATGGAGTGCTACTATAAATCAAATTATGAAAAATAACATTTTATAAAAATAAAAATTTGAGTCAAATGAGAATAGGACCCCCTGCCTATGGGGAGAGGAAGAGTCCCAGTAAGAAAGCAGTAACCCTTCATTTTAAAAGAAGAACCATGCTAAATTTAGAAATGAGTTCCAAATGACAAAACAAACACTACAAAATAAACCCTAGGAATCTGATGGTCATATGCACCTGGGCAGGTCAATGTGCATATGGGCAGGTTAGTTACTTGCAGGCAGGGAGTAGGGAAACTCCTTTTACTTATTTGAAGCCTACTTTTCATTTAAACAACAATGCTATCTATGTAGGAAATGTTAACAGAAAAGATAAGCAAGTGGCTCAATGCTATGGCTTTTTTGCAAAAACCACAGGAGAAAGAAACAGGTGAGATAAAAAATTACAGCAAGCATTTGAAAATGGTATCACTCATCCCAGACATATACATATAAAACAGTAAAATGTCATAACCTTCTTGACCTTGCAAATAGGTGGCCCAAAACATATATTTATCCTTTAGAGACAACTATTATTGTCACACAACCTGACCAGTTCTTACTAGCTGAATACCTCAGCCATCTGCATCAAACATGGTCTTGCTTCCTTTCCTGTCCCCTCCCACAGTTAGTCATTAAAAACACACAAAGTCCCAATTATTCCTTTGCACAACTAAAGACAAAAAGAACAAGAATTCTAAAGAAATAGAATATGGCAAAAGTAAGACAGTACCTTGCCTTCCAGGTTATGTCAAGGTTGTCTCAGACTGAAGTTTATTTCTCAGGCCCCAAACCCCATTTAATGCCCAAACCAAAGCCTTAGTACATATGGCACAAATGCCCAGCCAAAGCCTCATGGTAACTAAATGACCTCAGACTCCAGGTTTGTCTTCTAATTCTGAAGGAAACGAAGGTAATCATCACAATGAACCTTCCAGCTTCCTCGATGATCCCATGGACATGTGAAATATAAAAAAGTCCACTTCCTGCAGGCCACCCAGACAACTACATTAACCTGAGTGAAGGTTCCAAGTTCAGTAAACTCTTGAGCTTGAAAGCAGTAGTAGGTGGTGGCCTCCAAGTGATTTCATTGACAAGCAGCAACTCTTATTTCCAACCAGGAATTCCAAGAATATCTATAAATATGCACTGCCAACTGACCCTACTGGATTTCTGCTGCAAGGGCAAAGTGTCACTTAACAGCCCTGTGTCTTTGAGCTACTCAATCAAATTATGTCAAAGTTGCTTTTGCAAAATGTTTGATTTATCTATAGTGAGTGGAAGACAGAAGGAAGGCTTGGAAACAGAAACCTCCCCCCAAGGGAGCAAATCAGCTAATATGCAGTAAATGTGACTCATATCTCTAGGTATTTCCCAGACCACCAAGCCTGGTTCTTCCCCAGTGTGGAAATGGGCAGACAGGGACATAGGTGACAGCGCATCGAGGGCTTACCTTGTTCGAGGCCATCTCACTGACGGAGTGCCTGGTCTGCAAGGTCTCTAGCTGGTCCAGACACCAGTCCAGCTCCTCCAGGGTCTCGCTGGCCAGTTTCTGGTAGGCCTCCTCTGCGAAGAGATAGGGAAAGTGGGACTCAGTTCTCAAGCGCTTCACGGGGCCGCCGGCGAGCTCAAAGGGGGCCATTCTGCCGTACCCCGCCATGCTCGGGTGCCCGGTGCCCGCACATGAGGGCTGCTCCTTCATATTGCCCAGCCCGGCGGCGCGACGGGGGCCGAGGCTGTGCTCGCGGGGCAGCAGGCGTCGGGGAGGTGCAGTTTATCCAGCTTGACGTTCGGGTTCGGCCTGCCAGAGGGCGCGCAAAGTGAGAAACGCCAACTTTCGCTGGGGGGCGCGGGCGCCAGGAGCCCGATGCGACTTTTGGCGGCGCGGCGGATAGGCGTCCCCGTCCCGGAGCTCGCCTTCCCCGCAGGGCAGCGTGTGGTCCCGGACCCGGTCCTCAGGTCCGCCGGCCCGCGCCCGCCTGCCCGCCCGCCCGCTGCGAGCCTCCTGCAGGGCGCTCCAAGCGAATGAATCAGCCGCGGCGGGGTGCGCGGCCACCACGTTTCCTGTTTTCTTTCTCAAGTCCTCGGGCGGCGGGCGCAGCGCGGCTCCATCGCGGCGGCTTTCCGGGAACACTCCCCCTCACGCCCCCCGCGGGCGGCCGTCGGCGCGGCCTGGCTCCTCCTCAGCTCCCCTCCGCGGACTCCGCCAACTGCAAAAACCTGCGTGCGCCCCCCGCCGCGTCCTTCCCGCAGTCCAGCCGCCTCGCCGCGGCATCCCCGGAGCGGCCGGCCGGCCGCCGCGGCTTTGAAGCGCAGCCTGAGGGCGCGGGCGCTCGCGGGTGGCCGAAGGGCCGACGTGGGGCCGCCGGCAGAAGGAGGGCAGTGGAAAACCCGGCGCGGAGCGCCCGACGCGCGCCACCGGCCACCCGCCGCGGGGCTCGGGGGGCACCCGGCGCGCAGGCGCGTGCGGCGCGCACCTGCCCCGCGGGACCCCGCCGCCGAAGCCCCGCGCGCGCACCCTCGGTTCCCGACCGGACTCTAGACCCGAGTCCCCGCGAGGCGGCGTGCAGACCCTCGCAGTCTCCTCTGAGGGATGACGTTTAGAGTTCCCGAGGGTTCCTTTCTGAGGGTTTGGGACTGACTTTAAAGGAGCAGAAGGTGGGAATAAGGACATTTCCATTAGGAGCAGATACTTTCCATATCCAGCCCAGGCCCTAAGTACAGACTTCTAAAGTTTGGGGTGGACAGAAATAACAAAACAAAACATCGTGTTATGGAGTCAGGGACGCCTTTGCATGGTGCGATATGATATGGTGCAATTTCATATCCAGAATGACCTAAGAGTTATCTTAAAGGTGCAGCAACGTGAATGAACCAAAGGGAAGGAGAGTTTACACCTGACCTGCATTCGTGCTTCCTTGTGGATCTGCATAAGACCAGGATAGCCCTGTGATACCAAGGAGCAAAGTGTGGAAGGGCATTACAACCCACCAGGTACAAAAAATGACAGATGCTGAAAAGACCATATCCAAAGGTTCTGGGAAACCTGTTCAACTTTTAAAAAGCTGACTAAGGGGACCAAGAGCACTCTCCCTACACTGATCAATCCTGGAGAACTTAAAAACATTACCATATGGATAAGTAAACCATCTGTAGGTGAAAAAAATCATAATTCCTAAGGACGGGCCCATCTTATAAATATTTGTCATTGTCAACTAGAAAGACATTGAAAAGCAAGAAGAAATAAGGTCCCTTTTTTGGTCTTCCAATCTATAGGATTGTTGGAAAAGAAATTCTGCTCTTGAAATTTAGGCTCCATAAATTATCAGTAGCATAACAAGAGTTTCATGAACTGAATTTCAGGATCCTGGAATTTTTCAAATAAATTCTTAAACACAATTTGAAAAAGTTACAGTAACTTTCAAACTATTTGTTATGTGTCACCATGCCTTGTATCAACTATTCTTGAATGAGTTACTATCCACTTTAGGCTCTTTTGTTCTACTTTTTTTTCCTGCACAAATTTCTGTAAATACATATTTTAAGTGTAGAAGCAGCTGCTGACCTTGATAGGTGAATTAAAATTTAAGGGTGAAGTTCTTTTCCTTCTTAGAAAAAGGAACAGCGTTAAAGATAATTTTAATTTATTTTATGGTCTAATGATCCACATTTAGCATATCCAGTATGTTAGAGGCACTGTCATGTGGGTATTTGTTCACTGTCATCTTTTCAGTCATCAGGAAGCCAGGAGTCCCCCATCTACATCTCTAAAACCTGGAGGTCTAACTCTCTAGAGCATTCCTGAAGCCCAGGCAAGGTCTCAGCACGTAACTCCCTCACACTTTCCCTTGTCTTCACTAACTTTCTTAAGCCTTTTTGAAATCAGAAGTACAAATTCAGACCTTGGACCGGCAAGATAGACTCCACATATTATATTTCAGTCTTTATTTTTTAATGTGGAAAAGTAATTCAGGTTGATGCTTCAAGACATCATGGTCTTAGATATAAGATTTGCTCTTCAGAAGGTGGTATAGTAACTAGAGGGGCAGTTTATTTCATTTTCTTTCCAGATCATGGGTTACCATGTTGAATATTAAAATTTGACTGTGATCTGAAGGAAAGAAAAAAAAGATGATCCAGAACATATGTACTACCAGCAATTAACAAAATGATTATTAACAACAGAATGATGAACTGTTTTTAAAAATTGGTGCCCCAATAATTATTATTGCTATTAGTATTGAGCTGAGATTGTTACTTTTTTTTTTCAAATTCCCGGGTTAATAGGCAATATGGTTAGCTGCAGTTTTTCAGGATCATTATTAAGCCTCCACTTTTAGAAATTTTAACACCAAGTGTTTTAGGATATCCAGTAACTGACCTTTTCATCCCTACCAAAAAAAAAGGAAGAAAGAAAGAAAGAAAAGAAACTGCTTCACTGTGGAGCTGCCAGCTATCCTACAGGAAATTGAGTCACTACCCCAAGCAACACACCTAAATGTCATCTGCAACTAGCAGGACAAAAACAGGGAGCCAGTTTAATTTTGGCTTTTACCAAGAACACATACTGCATTCATTAATAAAATACTTTCACTCACAGAGAGCAGTATGCACTACAGCTCTGCTTCAAAATACATGAAAACTCTTCTATTTAACTGTCCAAAATCTTGTGTTCAGGAACTGAAGAGAGAAAAACACCCAAGCGAAAACTGTTGGCTACCTGCCATACAGGGTAGGAGAGGGCAATGGAACGGTAACTAATAACTTGAGCCTTTGGCAGTCCCTTTCCGCAGCAGCAGCATCAACTTTCTTCAAGGTACCCTTGAACTATGTGATGCTCATGTTTCTGCTCAGAGTCTCCTGTGAAAAAACAGTCCTCAAGATTTGCAGGCCAGCCCGTGGCTTCCGTCACAGTGATGCGCGCAAGGGTTCCCCTGACACATGGCCTAAAACCTTGCCAGGGCCTCCAGGAGAGGATGCTGAAGCTGCAACTTCCCTTTGCAAAGGAAAAAAGCCTCAGCTGAGAGCCACAGCAGTCAGCTAGACTCTGAAGCTGTTTTCTTGTGAAACCTTCTGCCAGTTACTCTCACCCACTATTTGCCAGGATATTGACCAGTGAAGTAAAAGGGTCCATCCACTCTGCAGGACATATGACTGTATGGGTTTGTTTTCTTTGCCAACACTTGTAGGGAAAAGGTTTGCATGTATTTGTTGTAATTCCTAGACAGGCCTAGTGCTACAAATGAGGAAAACAAGTGCCCCCCCCCCAAAGGATACTATTTACTTGCCTTTAATTTAGAAACTCATAAAAATATCACTACCAATTCAGATCATTTTAAAATTTTAAAAACTTCATTAAACAGATCCTATGAGACAATACTTAAGTATGGATGTTTCTAACCAGTTCTAATTTCTCCTTTCTTGATTCCCGACAAAATCCCTTCTCTGTTCCTAAGGAAGGAGATAGCAGTGTCTGAAGTAGGCAGAGCTGGAGAGAATTACTTCTGCTTCACCATTCATTGTTCTGAGCTAGTCACTGCCTGACTTGGCTGTGGAAGATTTGTGCAGGTTAGCTCTCACTTTTGCTGACATGAGTTTTTTTCCTCCATACGTTTTATCTGATGGGAAATACATGAAGACCTTGGATTCTCTTTCAGTGTGTACATACAACAGGTTTAAGCAAAGCTTGCCAGCGGCAAGCAGCTGTCATGCCCAAGTGTATTATTTCTGGCATCAAATTCTTGTTTTGAAGTATTTGAAAATATATAAACTTTCACTTAGTACTTCAAAAATTTGTCCAAAGAGAAGATAATTTTGTGAGCGTTTTTTCCTTTTATCTTCCTACCATCTACATTTTTTTCTAGTGCTGCCTAAGGTGCTAGTAAAATATTTTAAATAAGAACAGGATTGAGTTTCACTGACTTCTAGTCCCCTCTACAACTCAGCTTTTATTTAGCACTGACTCTTCATTATCCATTGAGTTCACACAAACAAAATGACTACAGGAGTTGTGTCCCTTTTCTAAGAAAAGCCTGGAGTGAAGTAGTGGAGACATTTTAGCACATCCGATAGTAGGATGTACTCTGAAAGAGGAAGCACGTGTGCTATGGGACAATGAAGAGGGGGCTAATGAAGTCAGACTATACAGAGGCAGAATGGGAAAAGGGTGAGTTCTACACAAGGAAACAGAAGGCCAGTGAAGGGGGTGGGAGGATTTAAGAGAAAACAGTATGAGCAAACCCCTGGCTTACAATCAACAAGATGGGTATGTGTGTGCATGGAGAAAAATGAACTACCAGGAGTAAAGCTTGGTTCAGGGGAAAAGAGGCTAGCTAGGAAAGTCTCAGAAGTTCCAGAGATCTGCCGACACTGACCATAGACATCTTTTCAGGCATTGGTACATAGAAGCTTTGAACTAGCTTCAATATAGGAGCTGCTGAGTAACTTAATTTTCCAGGGAAATTTGGGGAATGCGCAACAACTGGGTTGAAAGAGGCAAGGCTGAAGTCAGCAGGACCTGGGGCCACCATACTATTAGATAAAATTAGGTAATGTTGACCATTGGC